GGATCGCGCCCGGAACCCAGGCAGCGGGCGCCGCGCAGGCCAGGAAGACGCTCTGAGAACCTAACACAGCTTCGCTTCATCGGCGTTTCCTAGGACACCGCCCCGAGACCGCCCCGGCCTCGGCCTCACAAACTCCGCCTGAAGACAGCTTGTAACTAGGACTGAGCGCGGCTGGGCGTCTCTCGCCGACTGTTCGAGAGCGGAGCGTTCAGTCGGGGAACCGCGGACCCCCTAATGCGCGCACGGGCGCGGAACTCGGAGAGGAACTTCCCCGCGGAGATGATGGGAGGCGGAACCTTGACCGCGAACGAACGCCTCTTCGAGACTTACGGAAACCGCAGCCCCGATCCTAGTGCTGTGGTGCAATCGTGCTGGATTCCCAGCCTCTCCGCTGCGGGTTCAAGTCTCTCCGGCACCTCCGCATAATCCCAGGAGCCCCCACGATTTAAAGAGAGGCATCCAGCCAGGGGAACAGTGACCTCCCTAAAGCTTCCTCCGGACTCTCGCTTTGTGATGCACCAAAGTGGGAGAGTTCACAGCTGACGGTTACTACGTTCAGCTTTTTTTCGCGTCAACAGTTTCTCTTTCCCAGGAAACCCTACTGGGAGTGTTCGCTAGCGCCCGGGAGGGAGGGGAGGTCAGGAACCAGTCAATATCCAGCATCAGAAATTCAGAAAGATGGACAACTCATTCCCAAGCAGGACATGAGAGGTGGAGGGGAGAGGAAGTACTGAGATACTACCCAGCGTGTGGCCAGGAAAGTACTCCATGAATATTTTGAAAACAGCAATGAGGCAGGGGAAGAACAGGCTAGATACCTATACTTCCTCCATCTTCTCTCTTTCTTTTCATTTTTTTTTATTTTAGAGAGAGAGGGAATGAGGAAGAGTGAAAGAAACATTGATTTGTTGTTCCACTTATTCATGCATTCATTGGCTGATTCTAGTATGTGCCCTGACCCGGGATCAAACCTGCAACCTTGGCTTAGCAGGAAGCCACTCCAAACCAGAGGTTATGATTTGCATTACCTTATTTTAATTTAATGCTGCTAACCAAGCTAACCTGTTTGGGGGTGAATGGTTATAATTTTCACTTTTCCCTTAGCATTAGGTGAAATACACCTGGAGAAGATGTACTCAACTTCTGGAAGGCCCCAACTTTTAGCATTCAAGCTCCCAATTATACTGGGTTTAGGAACTCTGAGCTGTATCTAGGGTAGTATGTGTGTGAGGGCGGGGAGGGGGATTAAGAAGAGGGGAGAAGGAAAAACTCATCTTGACAAATACTCTTCCCCCTTCACACACTTCTCAGACTTTGGGCTTCCCTTTTTCTCACTTCTCTAAACTGGCACTGGTCTAATTTCAAAGATTTAATTTGTGCCAAAAGTAAGAGGATAGCACTCACCTAGTGGAATTTGTTCCACCATCTGCCTCCGTATGTTTAGGCATAACTGTGATTTGTGGGAAAGCAATATTTACTCAAATACAATGGAATTTGTGGGAAAGAAATATTTAGGAGATATTTGGAAATCCCATAGATGAGAAAGTCTCAAACATTTTTCCTTTTGTATAAGATGACTAGGTAAACACTAAAATCATGAATTAACAAAATATTTCTTTAGCAGAACCTTTCCTTTCTGACATGTCATTTTGCCATTTTATGACATTATCCAAAGTTTCTCATAATTGAGGCATTTTTAATTTTTTAATTAGGTACAAGTACAACTTTAAGTGAACTTGATGCAAAAACACAGTCCTGATTTCTGCTTGGGCTCTATTGCCAAGATTATTATAATAAAGCTCTCCCACCAAACTTGGCCTTAAACTGTAAGTTCAAAAGATTTCTAGGCATATGCATAAACTCCTGTTAGACATCTTGAGGTTAAACAAACAAAAACAGTAAATCTATACTCACTGAAGAGTTTGTAAGCAAAAGAATATTATACTTTAAGCAAAATTTCTTAGTGCTTAAGATGACTCCCTGGGAGTATATTGTGTACTTATAAAAACTAAAGGATACGACATCACAAATTTTAATCTAATAAAATAGCTTAATGAAGTTTCCAAAACAAATCCAACAGAGTGGGAACTCTTTGTATCACTGTGTCATTCTTCTTTTTACTTGAACCCTTTACCAATGACACAGTACTACATAATTTCTTTCTCAGATTTCTAGTGCTAAGGAACTAGTTTCTCTCCATGACAGAGCCCCATATACTAGTAAAATGTCTTGGATCTTTCTTCATGAATCTTCACTCTAATTAATTCTATGCTGTATTTACTTACTACTTTCTATAATCATGTGCCTATTTTTTTAATTACCTTTTTCTAAAAATATTTTTCCATTTCATCTTTAAAGTGTAACCCTCAGAACTTAAAGTCATACTCCAGGTTGGTCACATCAGATCCAAGAAGAGGCAATCTAGTTCATTGATTTTAAATAGCACATATCACGTAATGGAGTCTAAGGTTTCACCTGGGCCCTGGCCAGTGTGGCTCAGTTGGTTGGGCATTATCCTGTGCATCAAAAGGTTGATGATTCCATTCCCAATTAGGGCACATGCCCAGGGTTTCAAGTTTGATTGTGGTAAGGGGTGTGCTGGGGGGCAACTAATCAATGTTTCTCTCCCTCTCCCTTCCACTCTCTCTAAAAATCAATTAAAAAGTCAATCACTTTTAAAATTTTATTGATTTTTATAGAGAGAATGGAAGAGTGAGAGAGAGACATTGATGTGTAAGAGAAACATTGTCGATTGCCTCTTGCAGGCACTCTGACTAGGGGTCAAACCTGAAACCCGGGCATGCGCCCTGACCTGGAGTGGAACCTGCCACCTTTTGGTGGATGGGAAGATGCTCTCACCAGCTGAGCCAGCCAGGGCTGCGTCTGGTCCTTAAACAGTTACATCACATACTTTTTCATGATGGATTGAAAACTAAAATAAACACACTTTTTTTTTCTAGATGCTACTAAACCACACATCGAAAAGTCCTAGACTTTTATACTTACATTTTTTTTACTTAAATTTGTTTAGTGCCTGGTCTAATCACATAATATATTTTACCTACATCCAAATTTCATATTCCTATATATTTGGTAAGCAGTCACACTAGATGTCCTTCTGAACTACAGATGAAATTTTTCATCAAGTGTGGCTGAGAAGAAAGGCCTGCAATTAACTACCAACCAACCCACCTGACATCAGTTTATTAGATGGTGTCTAACCTGAAATAAAAATTTGACAAAGATACTAACAGTCTCCAAAAATGAATCTATGCAAATCTCATATAATAGTTTCCAAAAATGCTAAACGAAATATTGCCAGGTCACAATTATGATAGATGCTTAAAAGAAATTTGATAAATGAACAACATAAACTGATGAACAAAAACAGATCCAGAGACAGAGAGGTATCAATCAGACTGTCAAACCTCAGAGGGAAGGGGAGGGTGGGGGTAAGGGGGAGAGATCAACCAAAGGACTTGTATGCATGCATATAAGCCTAAGCAATGGACACAGACACAGACACCAGGGGGTGAGGGCATGAGTGGGGAGAGGGCAATGGGGAGATAAGGACACATATGTAATACCTTAATCTACAAAGGAAATTTTTTTAAAAAGAAATTTGATAAGAATTTGGCAAACATCACAAAACAATGGTCATCTTCATTGAAAGCAGTAAAACACCATAATTATTCCCATCAAAAGTCATGAACATAATGCAGGACACTTCAGGTCACATTTGTTATTCAATACTGACTTGGATACTCTAGTCAAAACAAGATAAGGAAATGTGTGTGCATTTTAGAAAAGAGAATAAAATATATTGTTAGATGATAAATTTATAGCTAATATAATTTCCTACTCATAAAATCACAGAGAATTACAAAAAAATAATTAAAATTAAAAAGTTCAATGAGATGGTTACCTTAAAAATAAAAAACCTAGCTTTCATACATACCTGCAATAACTAGACAAAAAGTGGGATTTCTACCAATCATGGACAAATGAAAATGGAAATTTTAATGTCTCTCCTTCTCCATGAAACCAACCAAAAATAATAAAAAGTACAGCCAAGCCCTAGCTGGTTTGGTTCAGTGGATAG